TACTGACGAGAAGCCCAAGGTTCACTGCTGAGTTCTCCACAAACCACTAATGTCTCAAAGATTTAAACTAGTTTAAAGCCAGATGAATCGGCAGCACTGACATTCTCAACAAACTGATGCGGAAAACAGAAGAAACACTGTGCCACAACAATCTTGTTAGACAGCTTTGCAATTCACAAAACATTTATCGTTCATTTGCTCTAGTGACACTAGACTGTAATCATGGTAGTGGGCAATCTGGAGATTCATATCTTATTTTATTGTATTTATTTACGTAAATATAGCTGTTACACTGAATGAAAATGGAACATTAGTTCACCCATATTTTGACATTTTAATTCCACAAAATTAGTTTGAAACATTAAACACTTTACTTGCTTTTAAGATGTTATCCATGTTTATAAAATCACTTTTGTGAATTTAATTTGATGTGGACACCTCATCTTTGACTCTTATACTAAATGTTTCGGCTCCCGTTTTTCATAACATAAACCATACAGTTTATAGAACTATGAAGTTTACAGACTACTAACTCAGCCATTCAGAATATGTAGATTTCACTGTATAAAAATGAGTTTGCTACCATTTTTAACAGATGTTGGATGCACGATATTGGATTTTTGCCGATATTTTTCAACTCCTTTTTAACGATACGATATATTTCCTTTTGTTTAGAGACAACACCAAGTCTCTCCTGTACAGAAATTATAAGCAAAATATTTGTAATTTTGGTTAGTTTTTAACAAGAACTTATTTGTTAAATAAACAATAATTAAGGTTTTTTTTTGACAGTACACTGAAGCTTTGAAAATAACTAAAAATAAACTATATATAATTCGTTGCATTTTTTCCCCAGAAAGATATTTTAAGATTTAACATTTGTAGATGGTCTAAAGCAAAACAGTTGTAAAAATTCGGAAAATCTTTTTAGAGCTTATGATTTGTTAAAAAAAAATAAAGCATATTACACATTAATGAATAAATCAGTATGTATAAAATTATTTAATTTACAAGTGTCATGTTTGTGATTTTTTTTTTTCATGTAAGCTATAGCTTCTGACCTTTAAATCAAAACATACTCATTATTTTATGACATCAGTTACTGATTTATTTAATCAGAAACATGCTTCAAATGTTATTTGTGTAGGCTATTTTACTTTTAATTTAATTAGAAGTAGGCCAACAGCAAGGTTATTTTCCTAAACTTAAAACTAAGACTAAAACGATTGATGAAAAAACTATTTCGTAAACTGAAATAAAATAAAAACGTCAAAATAAACGAAAAAACTAAACTAAACTAACAACAGTTATTGGAAAACTAACTGAAATAAAATACAAAGTTATTGGAAAACTAACTGAAATAAAATACTAATTATCAAAAATAAATAATCGTTTTCGTAATCATTACGTTCTCACCCCTTGACGGAAAAATATACGAGCTGTGTGGAGGTTTAGGGAAATAGCCTACCTGTAATGGCACATCACGCACATGGGGTTTTCTGACGGAGAGACGCAAAGCAGTTTAAAGCCTGCCCGGATCCTGTTTGGTAAACGTGCACCAGCAGTACTTAACGGAACACCCGACCTAACCGCACTCACATTAAATCTATTACATCAGGTAAGCAAGATTATTTATTTTATCATGTAACACAAGCAATCAAACCAACATTAGGCATTCTAAGTTGGTGCTTTGAAGAAAAACAGACATGCAGCGCAACATGA